AAAGAAAGAAATATCTGCTACCATCAAATGTAGCAGGAGTAAATATTTGTGTGTGTGTGTGTGTGTGTGTGTGTGTGTGTGTGTGTTGGGAGTGATTGTAATATGAAATGTTCTTCTGTGGCTCGTGATCAAAAGCCTTTGAGCCCACTGGCTGGGAGAACTGTGATTCCAAGCCACCTGCGTAAGAACCCTTTCCCACCATGTCATCATGCAGTCCTGGGCGAGGCACTTCACTCCTCTGAGCCTCAGCTCTTCCAACCCTAAGATGAGGATTATGACAGCTAAGGTGAAGAGTGGCTGAAACGAGGCAGCCTCAGGGCCATGCTCTCGTCACAGCCACCAGGGTTATTCGAAATCTGGGGACACTTCTCTGGGTTAACTATGGCATCTGGAGCCCTCATGGGTACCATGGTGTGTGACCACCTGGCATGGACCCCACTTTAAGAAGGAGTGATATAGGGATGCCCAGGTGGCTCAGTTGGTTAAGAGCGCGAGCTCTGAGCAACAGGATTGCTGGTTCGATTCCCAACATGGGCCAGTGAGCTGCACCCGAGCTGAGCTGCCGCTGAGCTGCCAACAGGTGGCAGGATGACTCAGCTTGTGAGAGCACGTGCTCCTAACAAAAAGGTTTCAGGTTTGACTCTGCATGGGATGGTTCGACTCCCGCAATTAGATTGAAAAAAAAACAAACCAGCGACTGGACCTGGAGCTGAGCTTGCACCCTCCACAACTACGATTGAAGAACAACTTGACTTGGAGCTGATGGGTCCTGGAAAAACACAATGTTCCCTTCCCCAATTCCCCAACACTGTTCCCTTACCCAATTCCCCAATAAAATCTTAAAAAAGAAAAGAGTGATATAGTATTGATGAGGAGGGAAGGAAGAAAACCAGGAATGCTTGTGCATCTACTGTGTGCCAAGCACTGTCAGACTCCTTCACCTCCGTTATCATCTCTTAACCTTCTTAACTGAAGTGCGTGGCCCTGATCATTGAATTCACTCCAGGGGCTCCAGCTTGCTCCCTAGGGTCTCCTTCGTCATTGACCCCCTGGGCCTAATGGGGACAGGGGACTCAGGAGTGGTTGTCCGTGTCTCTGGGTCGGGGCCAGCCTCCCGTGGACACTTCCCACTGGCTCTCTGACCTCAGATGAAGGCTGCTCTCCAGCGGGGGAGGCATCTGAGTCAGGAAATCCAGGGAGAAGGTGAACACGGCGGGTGCTGAGCTCCCCTCGGGGGGGGGGGCCCTAAAGGCTTGAATTCCCCAGGATCTCTCTGCCAGGCCTGAAGGCAGCCTACACCCCATCCTTTATCGCCCCAGCCTCTCTGGTCCCTCTGCCTTGGCTCTGTTGGAAGCAGGAGACGAGGGAGTGGGCCATATGGATATCTGACTTTTATTTACTTGACACAATTCTTGGTTGAACTTGCCCAGGGTACATAACACGTGTAGCTTATTCTTTAGAACCGGTGCTTGGGATTCCCTGATAATGGCGCACCGTGTTTTAGTATTACATCCATTGACGGTACTGAAGTTACTTCCAGTTTTTGCTCCATAAGCAAAGCTGCAATGAACACCCTTCTTCTTCAAGTCTCATGCACCCCCCCCAATACTTGATGTTATAAACATGAACAATTTTGCCCGTTGCGTGGTGAGAAATGACACTTCTGCATTGTTTTCAGTTTGGTATTTCCCTCCTTATCAGTGAGCGAGGGCATTGTTCTCACATTTATTCACCATTTCTATTTCTTCTATGAATTGGCCTGTCTGTATCCTTTGTCAATTTTTCTTTCTTTCTTTTTTTTAATCTTTTTCATTATCAATTGGTAGGAATTCTTTATATATTCTGGATACTAATCCTGTTTGTTGTATAGACTACAAATAGTTTACTGCCTGTCTTTCCCTATACACAGAGCATCTGTTTTTTTCCTTTAATTTTTTTTTTTATTGGGGAACAGTGTGGTTTTCCAGGACCCATCAGCTCCAAGTCAAGTAATTGATGCAGTAGTTGTGGAGGGTACATCTCAGTGGCCCATGTGGGGATCAAACCAGCAACTTTGGTGTTATGAGCCTGCACTCTAACCATCTGAGCTAACCGGCCACCCTGACAGACTTTTATTTTTTTAGAGCAGTTTTAGGTTTACAGAAAAATTGAGTGGAAGGTACAGAGTTCCCCCAAACCCCCTCTCTCTGCTCCTGTGGTACATTTGTTACAATGGATGAACCAACATCAGTACATTATTATTAACTAAATCGAAAGTGTATGTTAAAGTTCACTCTTCATGTTGCACAAATTGTGGGTTTTAACAAACGTTAGTGACATGTACCCACCGTAATTGTGAAGTTTCACGGCCTTAAACAACCCCTTTGCTCCATCTATTCATCCATCCCTCCCCACCCCCCATTGAGCCCCTGACAACCACCAATCTTTTCAGTCTCCATAGTTTTGCCTTTTCCAGGATGTCACAGAGTTAGAGTCACATGGTGTGTAGCTTCTCTCACTTAATAATATGGATTTAAGTTTCTTACATGTTTTTTCATGGCTGAATAGCTCATTTATTTTTCCTGATGAATAATATTCCATTGTCTGGATGGACCGTGGGTTATTTATCCATTCATCCATTGAAGAATGTGTTGGTTGCTTCCAACGTTTGGCAATGACGACTAAAGCTGCTTTTGTCATATGTTTTGATATTGGATATAGTAAAATTTTATCAACTTTTTCCTTCTTGGTTTACACTTCCCATGTCTCAATTAAGAAAACCAACCCCATAAACAACATTCTCCGAGACTTTTCTAACCCTACATCTAGATGTTTGTGTTAGTTAGTTCATATGGAATGTATTTTGGTGAATGGTGTGAGGTAAGGATCTAACTTAATTTTCTTAAATAAAAAAGTGAATTGCTTGGAACCCTTAGAGAATGAACCCATCTCTCTCCACTGGTTTTAAATAACATGTTTACACCATACTCCAAGCCCCACGTCTGCGTGAGTCTATTTCCTAACCCTCCTCATTCTGTTCCTTGGATCGCTCTCTGTTCCCGTGTCCATGCCACACTGTTTTACTGAGTATAACACGGTAGAGCCTGTTACCTAGAAGGACCCGTCTTCCCTCCTCACTGCCCAGGGATCACGCTCCCTGGTTGCCCTACCCAGGAGTCTTGCCCCCCAGCTGGACCCTGACCTCTTTCCTTAACCCCACCAGTCCCTTCCTGAGGGCTGGGCCTTGCTCTCCAAACCTCAGCTGTTGCAACTTGTTCAGTTTCTGCCTCACTATGCCAGTCCAGGTGCTCTCTGAGTTATAGGACTTGTTTTTCTCATATGCCTTGATTTTCTCATCTGTAAAATGGGGATAGCAATAAACATTGGCCATTCCGATGAGCATCCACTAAAGAAGGAAGACATCCATGAGAAGGCCCTCTCCTTCTATCAAGACAGCGGAGGCAGAACAGTATTTTAATAACAAAGCCTATCAGCTTGACCCAGAAGCTGGACGCAGACTGCTGGCAGAATAATTAACTTTCTGAATTGTTGGTTTAGAAAAGCATTGATTTCTCAATTGAATTCCATTTATCCCCAAATCTGAAAGGCCATGCTTTAAGAAAATTCAATACATGAAAATTGCAATTCACTCCAAGATTGGTTGGTGAGATTCTTGGATGGCATTTTAAAGATTCAGCTTCAAAAATCAGACCCTCCCTTCCGTTTCTGGAAACGTGTGTGTAAAGGCAGGTCCACCGACCGACCGGCAGCATCCGTCATACAAATTCTCAGCAGAAAGAACTGTTTCCAATTCATGTAAATTAATAAAAAGTGACTTTCTGATGAGTTACTGCAACTCCTAAATTAGCGGTGATTAAATGAACAAGGCTTTCCTGCCGTACCAGCTCCCTGGAGGGACCCACATCAGGAAAGTGACAGCTGTGAATCCCTGGCCCTTGTGTGGTTCCTGGAACACCACAGATGGAATTCCCAGCCTGTGGGGC